CCCCAAAACCCCAAAACCCCAAAACCCCACAGAAGATATTTAAAGTTGATCCTTTCATATTTTATAATAAATAAAAATATGGAAAAGAAAACACAAAGGAATACTAAGAGAAGAGAAGTGAACAAAGTACTAATCTGAGAAAGACTGGCTCCAAGAATGGAACTAAGATTACATGACTCTATCGATGAAAATTTAAACGAAAAGCTATGACCCAATAAAAAGCCATATAACTTTCTTCTAAGAGAAAGAATTAAGCTTAGGAGAACTGAGAGATATATTGTTAACTCCACTCTGTTATCAAAATTCAAAATTGAGCCTGCCCTTGCTAAGGAAATATTTACCGTAAAGTATTTATTTTTAGACATCAGAAATTGTGTGTTTTAATGCTGGGCTAACAGGATCTAAGAATTTCCTCAGAATTATGTCAAAAGCTTTCTGCTTTGTTACAGAGCAAGTTTACATAATCCGTTGTACTTTGGGCCCAAAAGATATCACAAGAATATTAATATGCTGAGGACTCATTAAGAAGTTTCACATTACAGAATGAAATATCCCCATTCAGACCTCTGGTACGTACTTTTGTAATTCTTATCTTTCTATCAGATTCGTAACTAAATTAATACTTCGAAGTAATTCTAAATCAAGGTGCTTAAAAGAGCATTTCTTGACTTCCATTTATATTTCTTCATTTAAATTATATATTATTCTTATTTTAAGATTTTCATAAGGAGTATTGGTAAGAATATCATATCTCTTCTCAGAATCAACTATCTCTTTCTTTAAAACTATAGTGAAAATGAGGAATTTAAATAGAAGAATTTACTTTGCTATTGCATAAAACGTTAGATGTTTCTTGAAATTACTAAAACTCCAAACATATATTTCACCTTCTACAGACTTCTCAAATTACAGTATAGATAAACTTTTTGAAATTTCTCCTTCAATTCATTTCTCTTATTTTCTTCTATATATATTGCTTATAGTCTCTCAAAATTACACAGTGTCTAATAACAAGCTCAAGAGAGTTAAATTTTCCTACTGCAAACTTGCTGGTAAAGAAGAAACTAAAGAAACCGCTTTAGTTCTTTTCAACAACATCTTGGAGTTATTTTTGAACTCTCCTTTCAAAAATACTCTAAAAACCTTCTTCTACCACTGCAGACATCCTATCTTCACCAACTTCACTCTACCAGGTACGGTCGAATCCTGTTACAAAGTTCATGACAGTGCGCCTAATTTTGTAAAACTCAAGATGAATGTTTAAAATTTTATTGTGAAAGGGTTTAAATTCAACCAATTTCTTAGGGAGGGGTTTTGGGGTTTTGGGGTTTTGGGG